GAAAAGGAACCAGGCACTATGTATGGAAGTTAGGGGTGAGGGACACGCACTGTCCTGAGTGAAAACCTGTGAGCAATGGGTAGGAAGCGCTGGGTGCACCAAAGGAAAGACACTTGTATTATGTGTGTCCCACTTGGGACTTGTGACTGCGTGATTGGGATTTCGAGCGTCCTGCCATTTGGAAGGAAAGGAGGGGTCTGCACCGGCCACTACGGGTTGCCAAACATCGTTCTCTTTCCAGACTGCCGTTTGTTCGTATGCGGGGGTCAGGCCACCGAGCTGTCTAACGGGAGTTTGTCACGTCGAGTGCTTATTAGCATTCTCGTCCGCATGGTGACGGGCTTTGGCTCAATTGAGCTGTCGGGCGGGGTGTGAAACGTTCCTCAGGCGGGGCCTAGCCTGTGGACTGGCGGAGGGAGCACCACTGCATGGGGGCAAAGACGGAGCCTGGGAGGCGATTAGTAGCTTCTCGTAACCTGGTTTGGGAAAGGTTGTTCCTTATCGGACCGATGGAAGTGAATGCCTGGACGACTGGCTCCAATGGTCTACCGAGATGTGCAGGGTGATTTCCCGAGATTAACGGTGGGTACACGAGCGGCAAGTCGGGATGGGGTATTCTGGGCAAGAAGGTGAGGGCGACCCCCCACTGGAGTCTGGGTACCGCGCTCACAACGGTTGAGTTGTGCTTGACGCTTGGGGTAAAACTCTGCCGATAGTAACAGTGGAGAGACCATTTCCGGGAAAAAGGCTGGTGAGGAGATGACCGGCCAGTGTGCGATGATTGCTTGAGTTTTTCTTTTTTTCCTGTGTCCTCCTCTATGAAGCTGCCTGATGAGTGTTGGAAGGGGAACTAAGCTTTTGGTCTATTCTCAACCCCTACCTAAGTCTGCACGAGTGAGAGAACATGAGGAAGAGGCTGGATAGGAGTCGGAAGAAAGTGGAACCAAGGAAAAGGAATGCGAGCCACTGATGATCGATTGGGGGTATGGTAGGGCAATGGAACCTGGGAAATGGATAAGAAAAGTTAGGGAGACCCAAATGAGGGGTCTGAAAACAACTCTCATCTAGAAAAAGGAAAAGCAAACCATCTGACCATGAGGGGCCGTGTGGTGCTCTCATGTGGAAAACAGGACAAGCGTCGGGAACACAAGATGGCGTGATGGTTGTCCCCTCATGTCTTCTTTAGTGGTCCGGAAGTACCTATAGAGATAAGGGATGGGGTATCTATTGTTCTCCCGGAAGAAGGGACGTGGACAGACCTAGAACCGGCCTATGAAACCGTGATGCTGGACGAGAAGGACGCGTTCCTCTAGATAGAGACAATATGGACTAAGGTGAGCGTGACGAGACTTTCACCTAGCTTGATGGACCTAGAATTCCGGGGAACAGTGGAAGCTCGAGGATGGGTTTACTTATCACAAGAATTGGAAAATGCAATGGTATTGGGACTAGTATTGGGCACGGCACCTGATCAGCTATTTAGGCAAGCGGAACGGGAAGTGGTATGGGCAGCATGTCAGCGGGCGGAAATAGAGATGGAAAGGATGGAGGTGCGAGTGGAACTCGGGGACCGGAAAAATATGAGATGTCCTCTTAGGACAATGAGGTGCGTGCTACCCTCGTTTTTGGTGGATGCAGTCTTTGGGACCAGGGATAGACTGGAACGTACATGCCAATCGATGAGACACCTGAGGCTGTATCAATGTGCTAGACAAGACTTCTTTAGATTGTCGGTGGAGGCAGGGCCGTTTGAAGGAAACTGGGCAGAAAAATTAGCTGAGGTGTTAAACCTCCTCAGCGCGGATGAAGGTTTTGTTCCTAGTCCGGTGTATTGGCGGATAGTTTACCGAAACGTGGCGGCAGGGGAAACCTTCTTGGAAGGGGTGAAAGAGATGTTCTTAGACGAGGAGGAGGATTCGAGTGATGAGGAGGACGGGGACGAGATAGAGGACTGGGACTTCTGAGGGGGGGCTTACCTGGGGAAAACGGGTTGTCGACTATATGCAGGTAGGGAGCGATGGTCCGGGAACTCGAGCTATGGGACTGCACATGGGAACCAAGACGAGTCGGAAGGGGAGTAGAGATGTCAATACGGTCAAGCAATGAATGGAAGGGGACCACATGTGATTGGCAGGGATATGAGATTGTGCCCGAGTTATCGTACCTATGGATAGAGCGTGCCTGGAACCCATTGAGGGAAGAGGAAGGATGGGAAGAGATTGCGGAAGGAATAGTGAAATCAGTCGGGACGATCGTTCTCTCTGAACAAGGTTGGCACCTGTTCTGCACAACGCTCGCGGCAGGACAAAACCCGATGTGGCTTTTATGGGACGTTGAGGCAAGGGCTCGGCAGGCGGGGGAAAGGTTTGCTAACAAAGGTTGGGATACGGTCGGCAGTAGAGTCCTGATGGGAGGATGGAAGAAATTTAAACCGCCTGGCACCCGAATTAAGACCTGGATGCCCGAATTCGTGGCAGACTGGTTTCGGGGTTTTGATCACGTAACAGAGGTAGCCGACACGATGGAGCAAATACACGGGTACTGCGCATGGCTGGCAGAGGAATTCTATAGGACGTCCTTGAAATACGGGCTCTTCCATGGCGATAGAGCCCGGGAGGTCCTTATCATTTTGGATATCGAAAGGAATGACCGGCAGAAGGTGGCCCCAGAAACTAGGGAGGCCATAATCCATCGTGAGGTAGCAGCAACACCTTGCTATGTGGATGATGTGTTCAAACTGTTCGAAGTACTGTGGTTCGACTAAGCACACGAATTGCTCAGGTAAGGGCTGGGCAAATATGGGAAAAATTGTTGAGATAAGGGCATGGGATGTCTGGCCATTGTAGGGTTCAGTGCGGATTGCGAGCCAGGAGATCAAAGGCGAGTGCGTGATGGCGCGAAGAAGGACATTCCTCGAGGAACGCCCCTTGGGCATTGAACCGCCTAGGGAAGTACCGGGCGGGATAGAGGTTAGCTTGCCGGCGGCGAGTGGAGGCTGGCACCAGGTGGCGGATTGGGTCGGAGTCGAACTTGCAGAAAACATGGTTTACTTAGTAACGAAAGTTGAGTGGCGTGCGGACGAGAGTGGGGAATGGAACCCGGACTCGTGGGGGTATGTGCGTGCAGAAGGGCGGTTGTATATGTCAGAGGATGGGTAGCAGGAGTTTGGAGTTATGTTGGCGTCAGGAGAAGATCCATTGAGCATGTTTGAAGGGGCGTGGCAGTTGGTGTGGCAGGCGGGAATCGAATTCGCGGACCCAGGGATGGATGATGTAATAGCAGACCTTAGGGTAGCCATGGTAGGGAGCTTTGAATTGCACAGTGAGAATGTCCGAATGAGACTGTCGCCCTTCCTGCTGGAAAGGCTAGGCGGAGTGGAACTTATTAGACACGCGGTAGCTGACCTTGCCACTCTGACATATGCGGACACAATGATACACCGGGAATACTACCGGGCTTTTCTATAAATGAGACCGTTTAGCGGGGAGCAGAAGTATGAGGTGTTGCGGACTCTGCGCGTCGTTTTTACCACCAGGCCAAGGGCTCCGGTCGTAGGAGATGAAGTTCTATGGGGCATTTTCCGGCGGGAAATAAATCAGGGGATGATGTACGTGGATGATTTACACCGATTGTATGAGCCGACGGGAGTAGAAACAGGCTGGTAAAAGAGCCGAGAAAAAGGAAAAAGATAGAACGGGAAAGAGGCATTGAGATAAGGACCAAGGAATTGATCAGGTAAGGGTCGGGGAATGAATGGAATAGGCAAACTCGCTTGCTGTTTAAACTGTGCAGGGGACCGCCAATCGACAATGGCGATGAGACGCGCCCAGATGTCGCAGCGCCTCACGCACCCGCGGCCACCCACGGAACGAGGGGGCGGATGGGAGCTATCGCTCTCGACAAGCTACAGGGTCCGAGGGATTGATACCGAATGAAGAGCCGTGACCCTGGGAAGGGACTACACGTTCATGATGGTGGAATATTTGTGGGATGGTATGAGGATTAATAGGAGGCCAGGGGACGATCTGTACATTGACCTAAGGGTGACGGGAACAGTATACCTGCCAGAGCTTGGGTGACATATGTTAGGAACGGAGCTGGCACTAGGACATGGGTTGTTACCAATCTTTCAAAGGGCTACTAGGGTACTGAACCGAGTAGGCCAGGAAGTGCGAGGGAGGAGGAATGTGGGGTTGAGGACCCGGGTGGAAGTTGGAGGTTGGCGAGAATTTAGGGACCCAATGACAGGGCTGAGGTGCCGAGTCCCCCGCTTCATGGTGGCCCTGGTATTTGGCAGCCTTGAGAGGGCTAGGGACCTAGTGGATTCAACCCTGGTCTGGATTCACTACTTTCGACCACAGACAACGGGGATGTTTTAAGATGTGTCGGTCAGGCATGGACCGTTCTAGGGTAATCAGGCCTGGGAATTACTTGACCTGATTGAAATTTTGATATTTGGGTCGCCTCGCTTGGCGTTTGAGGAGTATAAACCAATAATCGTTAGGGAAATAGAGATGGGAGAAAACTATCTTGCTAGGGTGGCCGGCTTGTTCGAAGAACCGGATGAGCAAGGCAGGCCTGAGGGACCGGCATGAGAAAATGCATCAGAAAGAAATAGGGAAATAAGGAACGGGTACTGAGATAAAAAGGCAGCTATCACCAAAAAAGGGGGGGCCAGTGGTTGGAATTCCGTCCGACCCGATAGCGCGGCAAGGAGGAACTAGGAAGACCACCCGCACCAGAAAACTCTTGGGCATTTGGAGGTCGAAAAGCCAAAAGGGCCATCCTCGATAAGGAGGCCACTGGGCTCAAACACCGCCCTAAGAGCCAAAGCGCGGCAGTGATAAAATGCCAAACATCGGCGGTAAGTCCCCCGGCGGGAGAAAACTTGAAGGACGCCCTGGGAAAGAAAAGTCAGGAGAGTCATACCGATTAACATAACACGCAAAAAAAAACATGGGAATAGGCGGGTTTTAGGGCCGGGGCTAGGGCAGTTATGAACAACCGGCCACTTTTTCGCAATTTTTTTTTCCATGTGCAGGCTAGGTAAAGAAATGGCGACTGAGGAAGGGATCGATGACCAGCAGAGCGGAGGGAATCAGGGCACGAATGGGGATGGGGAACGAAACGAGGGATCAGCCAGGGATCGAGAATCGACCAAAATGGAAGGAACCCGAGAAGACGGAAAGGACGCCTCAATTGGAGAAAACTCGGAAAAAGTTGGGGGTAGCAAAAGGGGACCTCAGGAAAACAGGGAAGGAGGAAATGACATGAGAACAAGCCCTCGGAACTCGGTAGGAGCCACCCCTAAAAAGACAAAAGTCTCGGATGCCAGTCGTAAATTGGCAGAAATAGAAAATCAGACTGCAGAATTTAAGGCAAGGCTTATCGAGGAGATGATGGCCGAGGATGAGGAGGACCCCCAGAGCGCCGGGTCATGTGAGGGATGCAAAACCGGTCAGGACGAGGCCATGTATGAGGGGAAGAATAATAGCCACAAAGGAACGCCTAGCAAGAAGGGGAAGGACAAGAACGACCCCCCGGCGGAGGGGACGGAAAACGCTATGACCCCGCCTGCCGCCGACAGCAGCACTAACCGACTGCCAGCCACGGCGAAAGTAACAGGGGCGTGCGACAGACTCTGGAGCCTTAGGGAAAGGGTGCTAGGATGGTTTGACCCAGAAGGAACGCCAAAAAACAGGGAGAAGCAGAGGGAAAGCAAGGAAGGGGAAGGGACCAGTACAGCTAGAGAAGCGGGTAGTTCCGAAGGTGGTCTCAAGAGGATAGTCACCACCCTCACCCGGGCACTAAACAAGAACCAGGGATACCTCGCAGATGCAAAGAAGAAACTCACGTTCGACGGGGCAAACATTACGGAGTTTCTGATAGACTATGAGAACCTAGCAGCCTTACTAAAATGGACGGAAGAGGAAAAGATGGAGCACCTAGGGCAGCACGTGTCGCTAAGCTTGGGAAGGGACATTATGGCCATCGTCGCGGCCAATGAATCCTGGAAAGAAACCAGGAACGAAATGATGAGGAAATACCTGAAGGCAGAGAAAATGGCAACAGAGGACGAATTAGCAGCAATCCAGAGGAAAAACTATGCGACTTACAACGATTTCCTAAGGGCATTTACGTGAGTGGCGCTGCGAATTCCCGGGGTAACGGACCGCATAATGAGTAAATATTTCCTCAGGCAGTTCTCCAAGTTTGATAAGGACAAGATTTTGTCAGCATACCAGCAGACCAGCAAGTTTGAATACACAAGGGATGTGGATTTCAGTACGGTAACAGATCTTTCTGAAAAGACAGTGGTAACTGAGACCCTGACCCTGCTTAAGGAAGGGAAGATTATAGACCTGACCGGGAAAACGGGGGATAAGGTCAAAAAGGGAATAGAGAGCCTGCATGAAAGGGTGTACGGGTTTGACAATAAGATAGAACGAATGGAAAGTGCGCTATTAGTGATGCAGGCGCAAGTGTCCCGACCCGTCCTCCTGCCTCAAGAAGCCGTGGTTCCGGCAGCTGTAGCAAACCGGGGATTTGGCAGAAGGGACCCGACCAATGAACAATGCAAGTATTGCACCATGATTGGGCATTTCGTACGGGCATGTCCGAGACTCGATCACGATATCGAGCGACAGAGATGCAACAGGTCCCTCAAAGGTGAGATCCTCGAACCCAGGGGAGAGCGTGTCAATTGAAACTCGCCAGGAGGGATGCGGCGAGCCGTCATCCTCTAGAATAACTTAGAGATAGCTGTTGTAGAAGCAGAGCCGATAGTCGAGATTGTCTGGGACCAGCCAAGGGGACGAGGACCACAGTCCAATTTTATCCTAGAAAGCAATGGGCAGGATAGGGTAAATATCACTACCCGACGGGTTGGCGAGGAAAAGAAGCTTATCCGAGACACAGTAATGGAAGAGGCCGCGGGGGCTAGTGCGAATCAGGAGGAAGCTGGAACCCGCGAACAGGAGAAGGTCTATGGAAAAACAAGGGAAGAGGAACCGGTAGACAAAGCCACGGCGGCAAAAAAGAAGTTCAGATACCAGATTCCGATTCTGACGCTGCCCGAATTAGATGACACACTGAGCTAACTCATGGGCACTATGGTGTATCCTTCCAGACCATGCTGCAGGCAAGCCCGAGACTGCTCAACGGCCTCAGGCAGCTATTGACGCGTAGACGAGTAGAAGTAGAGGAGGCTCCGGAACCACAGGAACAAGGAACTGAGGAGGCAGAGACGCCACAAGGAGTCGCTAACCTCCAAAGCATTCCAGGGGGGCTGGAAGACTTGGAAAAAGCCTTTGCCGATATTCGTCTGAGTCTGCCGGACCGAGAAGGTGGCGAAGTAATGAGAGCGCCGCCCGACACTAAACTTAGCTTTCACCCACTGCCTGTAGGAAAACTTAAAGTCCAGGTCGGAACCCACCACATCGATGGATTAGTGGATGGCGGTGCAGAAATTACCCTCATACGACGGGATTTCGCAACGATCACGGGATGCACAGTAAACAAGGAAGTAGCAGGGAGTATCAGGGGAGCAAGCGGAGAAATTCCCTTCACTGGGTATGTCACCAAATGCGCAGTCAGGGCAGGAATTCGGGAATCCATCTGGTCTTTCCAACGGATGACCGTCATGGAAGAAATGAACCATGACATAATCCTTGGGAGACCTTGGTGCGCCAATGTAGAAATGATTGGCATGCACTTGCATGACGACACGTACATGATAGACATAGAGGATCCGGTGACAGGTCGCGGAAAACTCCTCCGACTCCTCGGAACAGGAGGGGACCCTCCCAAGGGTAAACTGGCAACCTGGTCGCCGACGTTTGAGGAAAGTGCACGGAAAGGCGCAATCGCACGGATGGAAGGTGTGAGAGAAAGAGTAGAAATCATGATTGAGGAAGTCTTCAGCAAGAAAGAGTGGATCAAGATGGGTCTACCCCTGAAGAAGAGGGGGCAAGAGGATGAGGCCCTGGAAGTTATGATGGCAGAAAAAGAGTCGGAAGTCGAACTTGGGGCCAGTCTACCCAAGCCAAAGGAAGGCCGGAACGAAACGTCGGAGGTGGTGCTTAAAATCCCAGATTTGTTACAACTCGTTAAGGCCATCAGGTACCACAAAGTGGGGGTGGACCCCATAACACTTGCTTGATTTGAGGACAGGGTCTGAAAGGGCTACTGTCTGAATGGGAAGCTAGTCAGCATCTAACCCCACGTCTTGGAGGTAGCAAGGCCGATCCTGACCGTTCATTTTTTAGGAGAACGATCCCAGAGGGCAGTGTGCGAAAATACAAACCCGTAGGGAAGAAGGCCAAGCCGGTCTCGATCCTAGTAGAAACATCAAGGGAAGAGGTCATGGAAAAGGAAGAGGAGATCCTACAGGTTATAGGGGAGAGACGCGCAACGGAAGGTCACCGCATACCAAATGATGTAGCAGATACCATGAAAATAGGAGTGGAAGGGTTCCTAACACCGGAAGAAACTCAGTTGATAAGAAAGACATGTCAGGAGTTTCATTTAGCTTTCGCTTTCAACGATCATCAGAAAGGGCGATTGGACGCAAAGTTAGTTCTCCCTGTCAGGATCCACATCGTACAACACGAGTGTTGGAATGATAAAGGGTCCGCCTATGAGTTTGGGATAGCAGCGGAGGTCACCGACCTGCTTAGAGCCAAGATAGATTCTTTTGTGGCTGAACCCACCGCATCCCCCTATGCGAACAGGTGGTTCGTGTTCAGGAAGCCCAATAAGACGCTTAGGTGGATCCAGGACCTGCACAAGCTCAATGTGGTAACAATTAGGGATGCAGGCTCGCTTCCACAGGCCGACTTGTTGGCAGAGTCTCATGCGGGACAGAGCATTTACTCCCTGGTAGACTTGTACTCAAGATATGATCAGTTGCCGCTCGACGTGAGGGATGGACCGTACACCGCAATGCACACCCCCGTAGGACAGTTGCAAATGCAAGTGACCCCTATGGGTTTCACAAATGCGGTATCAAAGGCGCAAAGGAGGATGCTCGCCGTCACAGGGGATATGTTTCCAAAGAAGTGTGAACCGTATATAGATGATAATCCCGTAAAAGGCGCAAGGTACAAGGACGAGACAGAGGTCAAGCCGGGTGTGCGAAAATTTGTCTGGGATCACCTGCAGGATATCAAGGATCTCCTACAACGGTTCTTGCTCTATAATATTACCGCAAGTGGGCCAAAGAGCATTCTGGCTGTCCCGGAGGTAACTTTACTGGGATTTCGCTGTGGGGCCTATGGGAGGAGACCCGACCCAGCAAAGACAGATAAGATCGCTTAGTGGCTGACACCCCTAGGAATGGCAAGCATGGTCGCAACGTACTGTCAGATGTGTCTGATATGTCAAGAGAGGAGCTCCGTACGGGCTTCCGAGCCCCTTAGGTCCACTCAGGTACTGGGACCCGGACACCTTGTTCACCTCGATCTTGCGGTTATGCCCGTATCGACGGATGGGTTTAGATACATCTTGGATGCAAGGGATAACCTCAGTGGCTACGTAGGGGCCGTAGCTCTCAAGAGGAAGACAGGAAAAGCAGTGGCCGATTGGGTGGAAGACTTCTACCTAAGACACCCCTTCGTGCGCAGGTTTATAGCAGATAATGGTACATAGTTCGTTAACCAGAAGGTGTTGAACAGGCTTAAGATATTGTGCGTGCCAATCAAGATTACTGAGCCCTACCATCCTGAGGCAAATGCACCAGTAGAAAGGGGCCACCGGACCCTGAAAAACACAATCGCTAAGCTTGCAGCAGACAACTTAGGGAACTGGCCACGGTACCTTAAGCTGGCAGTCTTCTCTGAGAACATGACACCAGAGAGAATGACGGGATGCATTCCAGCGGAGCTATGGTATGGAAGGGAGATTGACTTCCCAGTGGAGACCCTTATCCCTACCTGGAACAGGTTAGACGATAATCCGCACTTGACCACGGAAGAGTTAATCACTGCACGTTGCCAGCAGGTCGCAAGGAATGAGGAGGCATTGGAGGAAGTAGTTAACCGTGTAACGGATAGCCGAATGAAGGATAAAGCAAGGTGGGACCAGGTCAAGAACATTCGGAAAGAGTCACTCCAGGTGGGGGAGAAAGTGCTAGTTAGAAACTCGGCCCTTGAAAGCACATGGTCTGGGCAGCTGGGAAAGAGATTCAAAGGGCCTTACAAGATCGCTAAGCGGGTGAGACCGAATACGTTCGAAATTGAGGATCTTGATGGTACTTGCATAAGAGGACCATTTCCGGGGCAGAGACTGGCCAGATTTTTTAGCAGGGATCCGGTGGAACAATGGTTACAAGAAACCCAGGATAGGGAAACTGGGGAATTGACAGCCTGAAAGGGAGGCAACTGGCTATAAGTTATGGACCGCCTCCCTATGGAAGTGATCATGACTACAGGGATTGTTCGTTTGTGTGTCTTACTTTTTGTGGAACGTGGGGAGACTGTCTACACGAGGTATTTATGTGTTGGGACAATGTGTCGAGGGTTCTAAGGGATAATGGGACTACCAACTATATGGGGGCAAGCAAGAGTTCTAGGGAAGCCTCCAAAGCTGCAAATGGGAGTGGAAGGGAATGCGTGTGTATGAGGGGTTGCGGTAACTGATATGCATGAACAGGACCACGCAAGGAGCAAACAGCAAACGATAAAAATGGAGTTTGGAAATGAAAACGACAGCAGCGTCATCAATAGGCCTACTGAGGGATAGTCATCGAGACAGGCTGGAAAATGAAGCTCCAGAAAAAGGAAATTGTATGTGGGGTTTTCTCACAACCTGGTTGTGAACAGGGGGGGGAGAAAGCAAGGGACTAGGGGACCTTCACCACCAAGGGAGGGGGAGCCAATAGTCTTCCTCTCTGAAAGTGATACCAGCAGGGAGGAAGAGAGGAACCCGGGAAAAAGGCTGAGGTTGGAGGAGGAGGAGCCCATCGAGGTCATAAACCTCAGTAGCGGGGAAGAAGAGGACGAAGTGACAATGCCCACAAGGAAAGATCGGGGAAGAGAGGAGGACCCAGGGGAAGAAAATGACCTATGGAAAAGAGAATTTGGGGTGACTTCCAGCGATTGGTTCGATCAATGGCCCAGTATTTTGCGTTATCAGTTGGCAACGAAGGGCAAGGAAAAGTTGAGCAGGGGAGAAGACATATCCCCAACAACCTTCTTTTCAGAAGAAACGCTTCTTCATCTACAGGCGATAAAGAGGCTAATGGAGCAAGAGATGGAGGACCGTGCAAGGAGGGAGGCTCGGCGCAAGGCACCGGGGCAGTAAAAGGGGACAGCAGGCATGATGGGAATAGCTGAAAATTGGAGAAGGGTTGGTACCTGGACAGGCACAACGGCCATTTTGAGTTTCGCACTTGAATTCAGTTAGACGGATTGGGATGAGGCAACTTTTGACTAAGGACTGGGCAATGGGTGCTACTTCGTAGGAGTTGTTGTTTTTTTTTTCAGGAAAAACACATAAGGATCAGTGCACTTAGATATAGAACTGTGACTAGTTGCATTGGCTAAGGGCAAGCAAGGGGAAAACAAGGGGTACCTAGATGAGACGAGTCTGTAATGTTGTCGTTGCATTCGAACTTTGTCTCCTCTTTTTTTGGGAAGGACTGCAATGAAACTACTTTTTGGATTGAGGAAACTAGTAGGGGAGGGGGGGGCTGGTCAGTGCTACTTTGTATAAGTACTCCCTCCTTCCGGGAAATATGAGCTTTTTTTATAGTAAGAAAGAGACTGGGGATGATCGATGTTGTCTTAAGGTCATGGACAAGTACATGTAAATTCCTGGATATTGAAAGAAACATTGATGACGATAGTTTTTCCTTTTATTTCTGTGTCCATGATTGAATGAGTCTTTGCACAAGTCCTTGTGAGAGGTTAGGGGACCTATGGGTAAAGAGGCATGAAAAACCCTCTTCCTTAGGAGCCTGATCCAACCAGTTTCACGTCGCTCCAGAACAGCAAAATGCATGTGAGTCCGGAGAAAGAGAAAACATGAAAAGGAGTCAGCACCCCTTGTAATGGTTGAACGGCCGGGTGGGCTAGTGCTGCTTGGGGATGCGACCTCCAACTCGAGCATTAGACGCTAAATCTGATGTACGGATGGATATAAGATTGACAAATGGCATGAGGAAAAAGGAAGAAGCATGCGTAAAAACCCAAGAAGATGGCCGCTTTCTAAACCTCGAGATGAGATAGGATCCGTGTCCTCGAGGCCCATCCCTTCGGGCGCTAACATTGAAATGGACAAGGATGGCCCTAACCAGTCTGTCCAATTGAAATGGATAAGGATGATCCTAACCAGGCGGTCCGATTGCAATGGATAAGAATGGTCCTAACTAGGCCGGTCGACTTGGAAATGGAAAGAACGACCCTTACCAGGTTGTTCAGAATGGCCCCTCACAAGGGTCATTCTTTGGAATTGGCACTGGGGTCCCCTTGCATGGCTGCCTGAGATGCATGACATTGGAAGAGTTGAGCCTCTGAAAAGATATTGAAAAGTGCAGAGCTTTGGAAAAGACATCCGAAGAGTTGAGCCTTGGAAACGACATTGAAAGAGATATTGGACTCAGCCTGGGAAGAGATATTGCATTGAGCATTAGACTGAGAATGAGCACTTGACTGAGATTGAGCATGGGAATGAAACTGAGCATTGAAACTGGATTGAGTATTGAAAATTGCATTGCATAAACAGGGGACCCTAGGCAACTGGAAATGGACTTGGAAAGAACTTTGAAATGAAATTTCTCTTTTCTTCTAGTCTTTGGCCTCAGCAAGAGGGGGATACCGGTGCATGCACCGCAACCCCAAAAACCTCTATCCCTTTGAGGGAAAAAGTTTCAACGCGACCTGTTCCTCTTCGAGAGGGTGAGGGTTAAAGGACTAAGGCACCTACCACTTGGATCTGTGGGGGACGTCCGGAACCACCTCCGACAATGAGCTCTAGTCGGGGAGTTCCAACTGCGCCTCCTGTTGAACGTCTAAACGTCAAAGGGCGAGAGAGTCAAATGGGCAGGAAAATCATTCTCATCTAGTCTATTTTGCTACTCTCCAACCACACGCCACGTCATAGAGGGGTGGCATGGTCGTTTGGGTCGGACCACGGCTGCCCGCACTAAGTTGGGCGGCACTGTCCAAGGGGAGAGGCTGGCGAGGTACTGGGTGGAGTCCGCCACCACCACGGGGCATTGACACTGCCCTGCCAGAACATTACAACCGTTTCGGGACTAATTGCGAGCTCTTCGTAACTGCACTCGCGAAATGACCGAGAGCCCTAATTCTCCTGAAAGGAAGAGGCCGGAATCCAGAAAATCACCACTCGGGAGGAACGATTCGCGAGGAACACTCGTACGGCTAGACGAGGCCCTGGCAGGCTTGGATTGGACCTACCTGACAGACGAGGGGAGGAACCTCAGTATTGGTGCTCGCCACGTGAGAGAATAAATGTCGAACCGAGTAGAAGGATGAGGCGTCGTTCGCGGGGGAGGATCTGATCACTCCTCCTTTTGTGAAGCGAATGGGTTTGTGTCCTTGACTCACGGTTGGCGGGCCAAAGGTCTGCGTACCATCGAGTGAGAACCAGTCGCGCAATGGGGACATCACATTTTGAGTGGGGGAAAGGTGCGCCATCTACCAATAAATACGCATGGAAAAAGACCTGTAATTGGTTTTGCATGGGCCTGAGAAAAGGCGCCAGGCTAGACACCCAGAAAAGAAAAAGACTTGTAATTAGTTTGCATGGGCCTGAGAAAACGGGGGGCCTGACAAGAGGCCGGGGCAGAAGGGACTTGAACAAGTGACACGGTATGAACTTGAGAAAAATGGCTTGGGAAGATAGCCAAGAAGGAAAGGGCTGGTGTGATTGATTCTGCGTAGACCTGAGAAAGGAACTGGCAGACTGAGGATTGACTGTGTAATTGGCTCGTATAAGTTTGAAAAGATGAGAAGTGGCTAAGGGGTGAACCAAGCATTGCACATGGAGAGTCAATTAAGTAAAGGGCAAGAAAGGGCAGGGAATGATATGCATGCGGAATTGGCAGGATCTGAGAAAAGCCGAGAGGAATGACCCGGGAAGAATGCATGTGAATTTGGCTATGTCTGAGCTTCGGGGAAGAGGAAAAATCGTACTGAAAATGTGTGGATATCCTAAGAGTAATGAATGAGACGAAACCAAAATGATTTCTGCTCGAGAATGTTTTCTCAATGAAATGGGAAGATAGATTTGAGATTACGAATACAGTCTTCAAGACATTATCGAGAGCGAGAAATAACGTACAATGAAAAACTAGCTGCAGGGCATGTCTGTATTCAGATCCCTCCAAGGGGC